GAGCGTTTCTGCAGATTATGGGAATGGGATCGACAAGGAAGTCAGACGTCGGTCTTGATCCTTCTGTTGTGAAGGCCTTAGCAAGTATCGCACCCACTGAATATCTGGCCTACTTTCTACTGCAATTATGCAGAGCCTCTGGCCCTCCTTAAAGGCAAAGATTACAAGAGTGTCTTCAGGAACTGAGGCTGATGGCCAGCCTAATTAATATAAAACAAATATGGAGGCAAAAAACAGGGTCTAACAACCCGAACTCTTTTCTAAGCTATCATTTAGTTTATTCAGTCCGTATTTATTTACCCGCTTCGTTGGGTTTCTTACCCACCGTCACTTTGTCCTTCGCTAATCATGAAAGACTTACGGAGAAAAAGGCATTCAAACAGTGCTGTGACCAGTACCAACCCAAATGACGTCTTTTAATTCACTAGCTCATTCGCTTAAGCCTTTCCATGAATAGAGCATTTTCTAAGGTTTGGAAATTTCCAGGTTGCAGCACTAGTTTAGTTGAGTGTTTTCTCTTCTTATAGGTTAATTAACGTTGGTGATCAGCGCGGAGATCGTCGGAAGTGGATCTACCTATTTGAGACAGTGCACGCAGTCCTTTTTTTTGCGTCCCTTGTTGATTTTCTAGAACGAAGTCAAACACCCGACTTTGAGGTAAAATCAACTCAGTCCAAACATAAACTTTTGCACGAATTTAGACAAAACTAGACGAAAGCCTTGAGTGCTTTAGGTTTATTATGGAAGCTCAACCCCTGTCACGAAAAGATGCCATTCTCTTTTTCACAAAAAAGGACATTCTCCCTGTACTTCTCTCGAATGAAAAGTTTACAACAGCGTCAAACTACTCCGAGATTCAAGGTAATTTACGAGGACGATTTAAACAACTATTTCTCGCTTTGTGAATTGACAACAAAGAGGCTGAAAATCTTACCATGGTTTAAAATAGGAAATGAGTTACATTTATAAAATGTAGCATATGATATAAAAGTATGCATTTGGCAAAAGTTAGTGTAACAATTAACCGATGGAGGTGCTGGTTCACGACAATAGAGTGTGGCAGGTGAGTAATACACCTTTGCACCCTCTTTGAAATGGAATTTTCTAACGTCCTTCACAAAGGTTCAACGTGTTACACAGGCATTGCTCGCGAAGGTCGCATTGCCATATGCGTGATTCGAGGAAACCAAGCCTTGACTCCTCCATACTAGGATAGAATCATGTTCCAAATAACAATCGGGTGTAGTTTGTTTAGGCATGCATAAATTGACAGAGAACAAGTAAATGAATTTTTTCTGCTTAGTTTATGCAAGGACGCCACAGTGGTTTGAAAATCGTGTCAGTACGTGGTAAATGGGTTCAATGACTACCGACTCATGTATCGCTTCTTGTACTCGCAAGCGACTTAAGTCGGAAGATGACAACTGTACTTCTAACGCGAATAGTTGACAAAGTTCAATCAAACGCTGGGTGTGGAAACCACTTATTTTGACAGGTCGAATCGTGAAAACAATGACACTGCTAACATGTACCACTAGGTGTAATCTGCATTCTAGCATCGAATAAATGGTAGAAATGAGAGCATAAACAATGCTCCCTTTTCTGTCCTCCTCTACGATTCTTTTGTGATAGCATCTTTTAAACCGTTATGCATCGCCCACATAAGACATTACAATGTTAAACACGCCTGATGCCTCATTTTATTCCCGAGTTTTTACCTTATCAAAGTTGATTGATAGAAGTGTGACTGAGAGTGCACTGTTATTATAGAAACAAAGGATCCAGAACTGTGTATCTCTGCACAACGAGAGCTCTATTTATTGCAACGCAAGGACAGGAGCCAAAAAACTGGTCGTGTTTTTGTCCACACAGTGTGCCTTCTTGATATCGACGAGATGAAGGCCAAATCTCGAAGTGTCCTCAAAAGTGTGCTCGATTCAAACTTCCGACGTCATGCAATGTTCTGAGCAAATGCTGAGCAAAGCATATCGCAATTTTCTTTTTATTTTTTATACTCTTTCTCCTCAATTCTCATCACTTCACCTCTAGCGTCATTTCCCTCATTCCTGAATGGGTACAAGATTATTTTCTATTAGGAATACTCTGTTGTCCACAAAAAGCTTCACAAACATTTGTCTGACTTATATGAATGACTCCACAACTTCTGTGTTCGCTGATCTCTACACCCGTGAATAATTATTTTGGCGCATTAAAGCATTTTACAGTCTACAGGATGGAGAAGGTGCTTTTACTGCCTATTATGCAACTCCAATTTATTCTTTGTTGATCTTATCCCAAATTGTGTACTTTATACTGATTTATATTAAGTAAAAACAATTGAACCGAAGTCAATGAAGTTTAAAATTAATTCTATTGGGGAAGAGGTGGAATTGAAGGAATGGATAAAGTCCGTGGACATAAAGAGGATCATCCAAGAAACTCCGGTTGAGGCAATGGGAATGCATTGTAGAGTTCATCGGAATCCATGAATCCAAAGTAATTGCGACGACCTTAAAATGTTACCTTCCAGAAGGGTTAGGAGAATGTTACCTCTTCTAAAAGTTTCCTTTAAATATTCGAGGTAGGAGTGGTCCAAGTCCTCGCCACCCTCCTCCTCCTCATCATCGTCTTCTTCTTCTTCTTCCTCCTCCTCCTCCTCCTCCGTCTCTTCACCGACTATGGTTGGATCGCCTTGAAGTTAAGTAAACGCTAGCTAATAAAAACATTGTATGGGCTATGACAATATTCACATCGCTCTATCAGCTAAGACAATTTTTCTGAGGTAAATAAGAGTGAAAATTTTATTCTCCTTCGATGGCAATGCCAAGCGGTGGTCACAAAATAAAATACTTCTAATCGTAAAGTAAAACACAATTTCACGTACCATAAAGAAGAGGCAGTGTTCCATCCCTGGCCACCGAAGACGGCTTTGGATTAGGGGGAACTGCTATTGTAATTGCTGCCACCGAGATTAGTTGAATTATCACAAAATTCACCGACATTTCAAAAGTCCAACACCACAATTTAGCCCTAATCAAATCATAAAATACTGTTTTTTCAGTTTTGCTGCAAAAGACACAACATAGGCTGCATCTTCAATAGTATAACAAAATGGCGCCAACTCAAAAGCGAAACACTTTTTAGCCTTTTTTGCTAAATAGTTAATTGCATTAAGTGCAATTTTGCTATTCACTTCCCCCTTCCTTCAAAATTACTTCTAATTTACTCCATTCAAATTAACGAAATGTGCTTCAGTTTAACGGCGGAAATTTCAAAATTCCTAATTAGAGTTATCCTGATTAAAATGCACATCTTTTTATATTCACTAATGGTTGCTATAAGATCTATTTAAAAAAGAAAAAAAAATCAACTCGATATTATTGTCTGCAAACTGCGCAAAATTGAAGCAAGTACCACAGCGAACAGCAAAAAAGACTCGGTTTCGTTTTTTTTTCGTTAATGTTTGATGTTTGGAAACTTAGTGGGGTCAATTTGTAATAATTTTGAAGGAGAATTAGTTGTTTCTGACGCGCCACTAAGGTTCCGTGTTAGGAGGGCTGGCTCGGACACCCTGAAAACGCACGCCTGACACGGCCAGGGTCTGAGACCCTCCACCACAAGCCTCCGAAGGAGGCCAACAGCGGTCATGCGTCAAAAATTACCAAATTTTAACAAAAAAGACCTGCAAATAAAGTGCACCACTCAAAGTATAAAGTAATATTGCATGTTTTTTACAGCCATGAAGTAAGTATGATACAGCATCAAGTAGGAGGGAGTGACGCTCACCCTCAGCAATATTGTTTTTCACGAATTTATTGCAGCAAATTGGCCACAGCTTAAATACGTTATTGTTTGATTTGTCAACCAATCACATTTTAGTCATTTTCATTGGTCTCAGTCAAAGTTGATGCGAAAATGGTCTGTGCGTTGGTGTCCAATACCTCCACAAAAACACCGAATTATAAGGTCCGTAATTTTGCAGGGTGTATAAGGAGTGGACTTTACTGCAGTCCAATTTTACCAAAGTCCTGTAGACTTCAATTTTAGCGGATAGTATTGCTACAACGAGTTTGATACACGCAATGCTTCTCTTTTTTGTAAATATGCCTCGTTGTATGGTTTCCCTTTCATTCTATTCATGCTTAACCCATAAGTCGAATTTGTTTGGCCTAAATGCTGCGTGGAATGACCGGACCCTCTTCTTGCCTTCCTCTTGGGAGTGCAACAAGGTCATCAGCGCGGTAGTAAGGGCGGAGCAACATTGAAGGAGCATGTCCGCTGCTCCAGGACCAAATCCCAGCATCCCGAGACTTCTTAGTGGCCAAGAGAAGGCACAGTAAGATTTTGGTACTAGCACCGAATTTCGACCTTTTGCCAACACGACTTTGGACTGGGAAACCATTGGCTGGTTGGTGAACATCTGTGTGCCTGTGAATTTCATGCCATGCGCATCATAAATGTTGTCTTGATGGCTAAGTTGGCTCACCTCGTCTCTCTCTCTCTCCCTCACTTACCCCTTGGTTCCACCTTTCTACCTAGCAGCATTCCAGAATGCATGTCCAACTACCATCCAATCGGGTTCTTTAAAATAGACAGCCAATTTGTCATTTTATGCATTGTCGAAATAGCAGTGGTCTAAAACAACAACAATAACAATAATATCCCAGTTGGCTATATTTAAATGAACCTATTGTTAGTAATAACTAACGATACACCAGTCCCGTCCAGTTGTTTTATAACACCAGGCCGCACATTCACACAACCATATGCACCATCTTCCCTATTAAGCATGTGTGAGTGAAACCCTACGGTCATTAAACCTGAAAAGCTTTCCATCAAAGACAATAACGATGCACTCTTAGTAACAGGACGTATCAATTGTCTAACTGTGAAGTTGTGCTGAGGAGTAATTAAGCAGGTTGGTAGCTAGCAGACTGGAACGGTCGAACAAAAGGATCTGGACATTTACAGGGCAACAGCGTCATCCACCTCCTCCTCCTCCTCCTCCTCCCCTTCTCCCTCTCTGGCTTTTGACGTACTTTCAGCATTACCGAACGACAGAGGCGACGTAAAAATGGCTGCTAAAAGTTATTTTTATGCAACTTTTACAAGTTGCACTCGGAAATACAAAATACCCGCCAAGTGTGGCGTCCGAAGTGGGAGAGTTTTAGGCTACTTTAAGTTCGAGAATATTGTTTTATTTCAGTGGATTTTTTTCCGGCCTTAATTTAACTTTCCTGGGTGTTGTAAAATTTTGCAATTCAACGTTGCCTTTACGGTGATGGGAGGTTTGTAGAGGATTAGCAAAAACTCGTGCATCATCACACTCCGGGCAAAGTTGTTTCTTTTGTTTGGGCTAAGGGGGGGGGAGAGGGGGGAGGGGGAGCAGCTACACAGTAATTTAACTGTTACCTTTAAATTACTAACTTTGGAATCCGTGGTAGTTCCTTTGACAGTTTGAGGCTAAACTACATAGACAAAGGCACAAGCTGCTTGCCGGTGCTGCCACGTTTCACGAACAAGAGAAAGAAAGCTTAATTCGGCAGCGAATTCATTCACTGCCTAGTACTGGCATCTCCGTGGGGGGCTTGGAGTAACTTGAGGAGGGAAGCTAAGTTCAATTTTCCTCAAAGGTAAACAGCCTTGTTTTAGTTATGAAGCTAGCGGAAAGTAGCCACAGCGGTGACAAAAGGCAATGCAGCCTTTTTTAGTTAAGCATTTACCAAAGGTGATTTTATTGTGTCAAGATGCCAAAGTAGCTTCGGTATTACCACCATCCGACTACCAAAAAGCGATTTACTTAACACGGAATGTATTACAAAAGTAAATCGGCAAAAGATAAGTCTGTTTAGACCGCGATGCCAGGCTCATCCTTGCACTCGAATTTATGTCCCGCCGTGCGCTCACAGAGTACATTTAAACAACAGAGTAGGTAGTATAGCCACCCTAGGCCGTCTAAGTCACAGCAAATGGTGCTAGCACTCACATAGACAACGTATTACAGGTACCTTAAACAAAAGATAATTGCATATAGTAGTCAGCTTAAGGGAATTAAGTTGATTGAATCCAAGTTCGATATACATCCGTAAAGTGAACAAAGAAAAAAGAACAACACTTGTGATGTTTTATATGCTTGAAACAACGCATGAATGACAGTCACTTTGTAATACTTTGTTTATGTAATCACATGGTATCTCACAGTTACTGTAAGATTTGTCTGGCCCTTGCATTCAGCTCCACATTGTGTCTTCTCCTACCCGGTGGAAGGCCTTGGGACGCTACAATGGTGGCAGCGGAAAGAGAACCCGACATTTTTAATATGGTGAATAAGGCGAATTTACATCTGGGACGGGAAAATCCCTGAATTCGTCACAGCAAAGGTTGAGAATGATGTCTGCGTCTGGCTTTACTTTATTCCCGTTTTTCATCGGCAAGCTATTAGGGACTGAAACAACGCTGTCGCAGACCATCTGGAAATGTTTAGTGTCGGAATTTTCCTTACGGACTCTGTGTATAGGTGCTGGAAACGACGTTACGGTTCTCTATATGCACGAGTCAGTGTCTGATTCCGTTTTGTTTGCAACAAATCTGTTGTAGACTAAAAATCCACCGTCTAGTCCTGGAAGCAAATGATGGTCAAAAGATGTATACGGCCCCGATTCAAGGCGTCAGACCGAGAATAATTCCAGGTCCATTTGAAGCTGACGAGGAGACCAAGTGCTGTTCCTCATACACATAGTAGCTGTTAACTGGTGCGGCTGGCTCGTGAGTGCTTTCTTGCAGTACCGGATGCACTGTGATAGCCTACCCGAGAGGAACATCGAGGATATCCCTCAAAAGAAGAGAGGGGCAGCGCAATACTCTTCCTATGTGACTACTCAATGTGTGCTGGTAACTTTAAGATTCTTCTTGACCAGGTCTTAATTTTTTTAACCCTGGAATACATGTAGTCAGTTCCATTTATGCTTTCTTTTACCCTGCGGCGATCCTCGGGACACTACACGTCTGGCTCTTGAACACAAAAACTGGCATCCGATCCAAGCCCAGACTTAAACTCTTGGTTCTCCTTGGAATACATGTAATCATATCTACTCACTACGTTCTTCTAGCCGATAGGAAGTCTTGGGACACTACGCACTTACTTCTGCTGTGTGATATGAGCATCAGAAGGAGTCGCAGACTCAATTTAAATTTCTCTTTCAGAACAAGTATGTCTCCAATTCCTATGTCTTCTGTTGATTACGTGACCATATGACTTTTGGTGGTAACTTTAAGATTTATCTGGCCCTTGTACTCGTGGGCTGGCTTTCGGGCCATGCTTGAGCCTAGCCGCTTCGCTCTCTCCAGAGTACACATATCCAAAATCATGTACTACCTTCTTCAACCAGAGGAGTAGTCTTGAGATGCTACATCAATTAATGAAGGATGAACATTAGGGAATTATGGCCATAGCAATGGCTTGGGAGGATGTCAATTTCTAGGAAAATATCAAACAAATACGGCATACGTTATGCAGAGTGTAAATCCCGTTAGTACTACCCGATATGTAGTTAGCTCGTTATGCAGCAAAAAATACTGCTCTACCGTTTTTTTATTTCTTCAAGAAGAGGGATACGATGAGCGCTCCAATTTGGCAAAGAATACAGTTATTATTCAGTATCAATATAATTGAGTTCTTTTTGCATCTTAGAGTTTGATTTAGGAATATAGAGAAGCTCTGCAAAAGTGCATGCTCATAATTATTAAAATTACTCAAATGTTGATTGTTTATGTGCATAATCAAGCCTTGAAACTCTTAAAACCGTGTGCATTTCGTCTGCATGTTGGAGGGTTCTGTCATTGAGGCTAATTTTGTTAGACTTCTGGACTGTGCAGAAATCATATCTGCTTCTGATAAGCTAACGTGTGACGAATTTTTATCCTACCGTAGAAAACTTCAGGAATTGTATAATTCGCTAACAAAGGCGAGCTTACGTCCGGCGGCAGAATACCTTCACATTTACAAAAGTCGAGTGAGTCATTACTCTTATCCGTTGATTTTTGGTCATCTCTTTTCTAGAAATTCATGTCTTTGCATTTTGCAGGTCGATCACTTGTCAGAAGCAAAGGAGAGATGCTCACTAATAGACTCTGCTGAAGAGATTGAAAGCATAAATGTTTTTGAAAAGGATATGTGTAAATGGTTGAACTTCGACACTCAAGCAAAACGCTTTAGTTTGCGAAGTCGAAAGGCTGTCTTCTTTACTCGTAGTGCTTCTGATTTTTCTAAATGGTTGGATGAACCGGATAACAAAACTTCTAATAAACAGGGTTTTGGTAGAGATGCGCCAGACTGTCATGTTCATCAGCGTGCGAAACCTAAGTCGGAAAACACACGTTTTCTTTTGGATGTCCCGAACTCCCATTGTAGACACAGGGACGTAGATGATGAAGCGGCTCGTATGAATCTAGGTCAGTTTCCGTCAATTTTCTCGTCGTTAGTTCACTTGGCATTTGTTTTGATTTATTTACTGGAACGTTTTTTTGTTCTAAACATAAATAGATCTTGAGGGTGATGGCGATAGTAAAATTAAGGGACAGGAGCGCAGTTTGCTTGATGTGGAGATATTGGAGCGTGACAAGATTGCCAAGGGTATGCTCTACCTCACCGAGGAATTGCGATCGACTCAGCTGGCTCTAGGCGATCGTGTACGCGCCGATATCAACACATTAAATGTCTCCAGCACTGTAGCTCAAGTCAATGTTGAATCACTAGCTTCAATTTCCCGGCGAGTTCGCGAAGAACTGGGACACAAGTTTGGACTCTGTATTTGGATCCTTTTCCTCCTCTCTGTGATCGTCTTTTTTTGGATGGTCCTCTTCATCAGATTCACTCCAAAGGGCAGGGCATTATCTTAGTTATTTGGTTGTAACTTTCCTGCTTTTTTTCGTGCCGAATAAAGTTCCATATTTTCTTGGTTTTTGGTAGATATGTTTCAGTTAAGTGGGAAAAATGGATTCCCATTTTCCACTTTGGTTTGCGTTGACCTCAACTAAAAGAATGCTACTACAATTTGTGAGTAGATTGCATTAGTTCAGAAAGCAGTGGCAAGCCGTAGAGGCTCTTTAGCTACTGTTGGGCTCACATGAGTCTCCTGACTTTCGTTCTTGCAATTTCCTTCCCCAGACGATTGGTTATCTCTACATATCTTCAGTCAAGACCTCGTCTCCCTAAGCTAAGCCTGTTGGACTGTTTGTTACCTTCCATTGATGAGGACTGTACTGTTCCCTCAAAGCACCCCAAACTGTAGACTGATATTGTTTGGTTCGCATCATTTTGTCAAACTGATTAAATTAACCAAACAACAATTTATGTGTGTGCACCTGACTGTGTTGCATAAAAGGTCAAATGATTCCAAATGCACGGAAATTATTTGTAGCGTCCGAGGTCTTCCCACCAGGTAGAAGAGGACATTAGGTTGGGCTGGATAAAAGCCTATGCTTACCTCTAAGGTCAGTCTACGCGTATAAGAGCTAGACGAATGGCAAGGTAATCGTCAGACATGGTGATCAAATGAAAAAAACATTACACGACTATTTCTCTCTATGTGGTGGTGACTAGAAACATAAATGCCGAGTCAAGTGGCTAACCCCATCCCTGAGCTTAGTGGATTAGACAAGACTTCCCAACTTATACTGAAGCTTTTAGGTGTCAGACTATGATTGGGCCGTTCACAGTCAGAACTTTGCCTATTCTACACCACCAGACAATATGAATGGCACTTGGACTACTCCCATCTGAAATCTTAACCTACAATCAAATTCGTGCTTTTTAAACAATTTAAAGGTGAAATTCTGTAGGTCTCCACAGTGTGATCTAATTACACCTATTGACGTCAAGAATCACTGCGTTGGCGATGTTGGCTCACGCAGAAGTCCTAGGTGTTACATCAAAACTCGTGAGAAAGTGAGGTAAACCGATTATTCCCTATGGTGAATGACAAAGCAATACCCTCTCTGCCTTGATTTGCATTTACAATGATTAAAATGATGTGAGAGAGCAAATTTGTGTTTGTGCTTGATGGCTACTGTGAAAGTGAATGCCCCCTCTACTTCCTGTTTATGTCAAATTTTCAAACTTTAAGTGGCTTTTGGGAGGGAGTTTTTTCACGTGTAAATCACTTTGGCCGACTAAAATACATGTGACAAGTGTAAACACCAAGTCTAGCAGGCATACTAAAAACTGACATTTGGCGTGTGAACGGCATCGTGCACAGTACCAGTTGAACCCGTGATAATGTTGTAGTTGGGCGCAGCTTAAGGTGGAGATTATTTTATTTCCAAATAACCCATGCATGTCACACAATTAACTTGC